AGAATCAGTTCAACAAGCAAATAAAAAGGTTACGTAGTGATCGTGGAACTGAGTATGATACTGATGCTTTTGTAGAATTTTATAATTCACACGGTATCATACATGAAAGGTCAGCTCCTTATTCTCCAGAAATGAATGGTAAGGCTGAAAGGAAAAATAGAACCTTTACTGAGTTAGTAGTTGCTATTTCCTTAAATTCTGGTGCTGCTGATCATTGGTGGGGAGAAATTCTTCTCACTGTTTGTTATGTCTTGAATCGTATTCCAAATACTAAGAGTAAGGTTTCTCCTTATGAATTACTTCGTAACAAACAACCTAATATTTCTTATTTCAGAACTTGGGGTTGTCTGGCATATGTTAGGATTCCTGATCCTAAAAGAGTTAAGTTAGATAGTAGAGCTTATGAATGTGTATTCATTGGCTATGCTGTTAATAGTAAAGCATATAGATTCTTTGATTTAAATGCACGAGTAATTATTGAATCTAATGATGCTGATTTTTATGAGGACAAGTTTCCTTTCAAATCCAGAAATAGTGGGGGTTCGTCCTCTTCTATTATTCCTGTAGTCAGGTCTAACTCACAAGACTTGAATGCCAAACCCGAACTAAGAAGAAGCAAACGGGCTAGAGTAGCAAAAAACTTTGGCCCGGACTTTGAAGTTCTCAATTTAGAGGAGGATCCTTCTACCCTCCAAGAAGCCTTAGCCTCAGTTGATGCAGATTTATGGCAAGAAGCCGTAAATGATGAAATGGACTCGCTTGAGTCTAATCGAACTTGGCATCTGACTGAGTTGCCACCAGGTTGCAAAACAATTGGCTGCAAATGGATCCTAAAAAGAAAGCTGAAAGTTGATGGGACCGTTGATAAGTATAAAGCTCGTTTAGTAGCTAAAGGCTACAGACAAAGGGAGAATGTTGATTTCTTTGATACTTATTCACCAGTTACTAGAATAACTTCTATTAGAGTGCTAATGTCTCTTGCTTCTGTTTTTAATCTTGTAGTACATCAGATGGATGTAAAGACAGTATTCTTGAATGGTGAATTGGAAGAAGAAATCTACATGGATCAACCAGAGGGCTTTGTCATCCCAAGGAAAGAACATCTGGTATGTAAATTAGATAAGTCTCTTTATGGTCTCAAACAAGCACCTAAACAATGGCATGAAAAATTTGATAACTTAGTCATTTCACATGGTTTTAAGATAAATGGTAGTGACAAATGCATATATGTAAAATTTGAGAATGACATTTGCACTATAATTTGTCTGTATGTGGATGACTTGTTAATTTTTGGCTCGAATATTCACGCTGTGAATAATGTGAAGCTATTGTTAAATGTTGAGTTTGATATGAAAGATCTAGGAGAGGCGAATGTAATCCTTGGGATTAAGATTACTAGGACTGAAAATGGAGTTTCTTTGGATCAGTCTCATTACATTGAGAAAATCCTAAAGAAATATGGTTACTTAGACTGTAAACCTGCTAGTACACCTTATGATCCCAGTGTAAAGTTATTTAAGAACACTGGTGAAGCCGTTAGGCAATCTGATTATGCAAGCGTCATTGGCAGCCTTCGGTATGCCACTGATTGTACTAGACCCGACATTGCCTATGTCGTGGGATTATTAGGCAGGTTTACTAGTTGTCCTGGTAATGAGCATTGGCATGCTATTGAAAGGGTCATGAGATACCTTAAGAGGACCATGAACCTAGGATTACATTATGAGAGGTTTCCAGCTGTACTAGAAGGCTATAGTGATGCTGACTGGAACACCTTATCAGATGACTCTAAGGCTACTAGTGGATATATTTTCTCTATAGCCGGTGGAGCCGTATCTTGGAAGTCTAAGAAACAGACTGTTTTAGCTCAGTCCACCATGGAGTCAAAGATGATAGCACTAGCTACAGCTAGTGAAGAAGCAGGTTGGTTAAGAGACCTGCTAGGTGAGATTCCCTTGTGGGAAAAACCATTACCTGCTGTCTTGATCCATTGTGATAGTACCGTGGCTATTGCAAAAGTTCAGAACCGTTACTACAACGGTAAGAGACGACAAATACGTCGTAAGCACAGCACTGTAAGAGAATATCTCTCTATTGGAGCTGTGAGAGTGGATCATGTACGCACGGAGAATAATATGGCTGACCCTTTGACGAAAGGATTAGCTAGAGAGAAAGTCCATGATTTTTCTAAGAAAATGGGACTATTGCCATTAAAATGAGTCACACATAATGGTAACCCAACCTATAGACTGGAGATCCCAAGAAATAGGTTCAATGGGTAATAACAAGTTATGGAGTGATATGAGTTGATTATGTTTAAATAAACATAAATTCCTGAAGCGATCAAGGATGAGTTAATAGGAACTCTTAATGAAATCTATACTCCATTTGGAGTGGAGTACCTAGCTACAGGAGTAATCTTGATAGATTCACCTATGTGAATGTGGAAGTTAGGCCGCTTCCTATGAAATGTGTGGCAGCATTTCTAGAGCATTCACTATACTGGGATAGACGTGCATGGCCGTAATAGCACGGGTCTATGACAAACACCGAGAATAGGAAGTGTGTGGTACGTTGTTAGAGATAGGGTTCAAAACTTCGAGTTACCCTTGTTAAATCTGAATTGTATTCACTACGCAGAAGTTCAAGTTGAAAAACACTTCTATTTATACACAACCTATAGATGTAAGGATTCTGCTCGAAAATATTTTCAAAAATTCAAGTGGGGGATTGTTGGAACAAAGTTGTTTTTAGTGTGAATTTGTGAAAATGGTAAACTCCCACATTGGTGGGAAGTGAGAATGTTGCTTGGTTTATATAGGTATGTGTCTTCTAAAGAGGTGTGGCCCTTGGGCTACCCACATTTTGTGGAGAGGAAGGACTTATCTACCAAACCAATATAACACACGCGCGCCGAACCGAACCGGGCCGGGTTGGGTTGGATTTCTTAAACTGATTTAAATTTTTTGAACAAGGATTAATTCCTTGATTTTGTAACAGATTTACTAATTAATTTTTTTGGCCGTTACGTTTTAATTGTGTCCGTTTTGTTTTGACTGTTTTTACAACGGTTAATTAAGGTTTTGATTATGTCCGTTAATTGCGTGATTTTTGCTGTTCGAAGACTGTCCAGGTTCACTTTGCTAACCAATATAAATTGGTGATCTTCCTTCACGGTTTTACACACAACCACAACCAGAAAAACAATTTCAAAGAGTTTTACAGAAAAACATAAAAAAACCCGCTTACAGTTTATTCTTCAGAAATTATTCGAGCATTGTTCCTAATATTAGTGTTTAGTTGTCTGGTGGTTCTGTGCAAATCCATCGGTTTAATTTTCTTTTCCGAAAGACTGTTTTATCCTGGGGAGCATCCGATTATTGTACGAGCTGCTTGCACACATCGAAGGCAGTACCGTGAATGTTCTAAAGACAGCGACATAGTCCGCGACTCAGTCTTATCCCGGTAACCTTGTTCTATTTATTGTTTGCAGCAGTTCGGATTTTAACAATACCTATACTACGAAGTAGGATGATCATTCTACGGACCCTTGTGCTCCTTCAGATTATTATTACACAACATCCCCTAGAGTATGGAAAACAATGCATCACAATTAAATCATTTACTTTCATTTAGTATAACTGAACAAAATCTTTGAATGATGCCTAGAAACTATATAATCCGCTTCAAATCTAAAATTACTGTCATACATTCAACGCATCGCCAGTTATATTACTTTAAAAGTTGAACATATGTCTATAAATTTTTATATAGAGTTTTATATATATGTATATTGGTACATTGCATAGGTATTTAAAGTATACATATACTGCATTTGATTATTAGGCTATCAAATTTAGTTGGTGTGTACATAATTAATCAGAGATAATTCTAGACATAAATATATGCCTATCAATTTAGTTGGTGTGTGCATAATAAATCGGAGATAATTCTGAACATAAATATACATAATTTTGAGCTAACGTCATCACTCTTATCATCATTGATCTTAGCATCATATAAGTAAAATTCCAAAAATATGCAAGATTGAGACAATTTTGGCAGCGAAGATGCTGATTTAATGCAAGATATATATGCTGATTTGTATATCAACTTATATCTTGCTTCAAATCAGGGTCTTCCACACCCGCATACATGGTCTTCTACAAATCAGCATACCTTGCATAAAATTAAGCACACGCCAACTAAAGTAAAGCAAACAATAAATGAGGAGAGAGAAAAGTGAAAATGACCAACATTGCAGTAACAGTCTCATAGTTTGACCATCAATACTAAGCATCATAGCTGCATAGCGTCGGAGTAAAGTAGGTGCACAAACTCAGCATCATACTAAAAAAAAACTGACCTTAGAAGCTAGCTGCTTCAATTCAACGGAGGAGGAAACTTAGAAGCCGCTTCAATTCAATGGAGGAGGAAGCTCAGAAGCCACTTCAATGGAGAGTTCTCTCTATCGAAAAATTTGACCATGGAATTGAATGAAATAGAGGAGAAAGACTACCAAAGATTGAGTTATGGTGGAAAATTGGAAATGGAAATGAAGTCAAAGAGATGAATGGTTGTGAGGGACTTCGAGTGAGGTGGAGGAAAAGAAGCTGACTAAGATATCAAGGGCAATGTTGTAAAAAAAAAAAAGAGAGGGTAGTTTTGGGATTGCACTATTCCTTTGAATAGTAGCACATATTTTGGCTTTTGAAGGGTTGTAGATGACATGTAATTTTCCTTAAATAATATGCTAATGTGGCATCATGAGAGGGGAGTATTAGGGGTTTGCTCCTCCCTCATTTATCCCACTTCTAAATAATCCTACTTCTAAATAATAACATACTACTTCCGTATTTCTAAATTTTTCTCACATTCCGTTACACCAATTTTGCTAAGTTCTATTCATTTTTACTTTATTCCTATTATGACAATCTTTTCTGCATATTTTTTTTAATTATCATTATCATATATCATAGTCTCATATTCCATCTTTTTTTTATTGATTTGCCTAGCTATTGTAATTTTTTTTTTTTGACAGGACCCAACTACAGCAATTGAGTAAGACTTAATAAAAAAACAAATGTGCAAGTAAGGACATATATTATGTGCTCCTAGTCTCCTACAAGTTACACCTACAAAACAAAAACCAATTAAAAAAAAAAAAAAAACTGTGAAATCTAAAACCCTGAATTGGGGGGTTTAAAGAATTAAAGATCCCACACAAGTAAAATCCTTGAAATCTCCATTCTTCCATTTCTAAGCTGACGCTTGACAGCTGAGGAGGAGGAACATCTTACAGCAATGGTTAGAGGACCACTCCTCCGTTCCCTATTCACCGCCGCCAGAAAGTCCACCACCAACACCACCGCAACCAACAAACCCTACGTAACCTCTCGCATCTTTCCTCACCTTCGTCCTTATTCCACCGCCACCGCCGCCAACGCCGCCGCCGGTAACATCAACCCGTCCTTAGATCCCTCGCGCCTTCGTAATGTTGCGGTTATTGCGCACGTTGACCATGGCAAAACTACTCTCATGGATCGGCTTCTTCGTCAGTGCGGCGCCGATATCCCTCATGAACGTGCCATGGATTCTATCTCGCTTGAGCGTGAGCGCGGTATCACTATCTCCTCCAAGGTTTGCCTACCCCATCCTTTGTTGATTTTGGTTGATTGATTTTGTAAACTTTATATTCTAATTGTTGAGTACCAATTGAATTTTGTAGTTTAGAATTCTAAGTATGCTATATTCAGGTAGTGTAAGTTACTTTCTTCAGATTGTAATATTAAGAGCAACTTGTAAGTTGGGTGTGAACCTTTTTTAAAACTTGTTCTGCGAATGGCGATAGTGAGTTCTTGTAATTGTTCTTGAAAAGGGGGTTAATGATATGGGGGCATTGAACTATGGACCATACTAATGATCAAGTACTAGCCTTTTAATTGCTTAGACTAAACCGAGGGTCTTTGAAAGGTCAAGCGATAGAATTTGAAATGTAGGATGTTTGCTCGGCTTGTGCTTAGTAGAAGCTGAGACAAGCAGTTCATGAGCGTATAAAGGCAAGTAGTTGCACATACAAGTTTGCATGAGTGTGCAAAACTAACAAGATGGTTGCTTGAGTATGCGTGCAAGTTTTTCTTGAATGGAAAAGAGAACTTGTGTTAACAATATTGTCAATCAATCTATGAGGGTGCTTCTTTGTCCTCTTTATTCTTTGTGATTAGTTTTATCTTTGTGATTATTTAATCTTAATTTTACTTGGGGCTTGTTTGCCTCTTGGTTGGTTTTGGACTAGTCGTTTATATTGGCTGGTTGACACTTTTATTTTATTTTATTTTTATTTATTTATTTATTTGTTTAAAAACATGTCTAGTAAAATAGGATGTTAGATAATATTAGGAATTTGTGTAATTAAAAGCCAAAAGCTACTAGCTAATCCAAATAGCCTTTTCATTTTAGCATAAAAAGTCATTTACCAAACACATTTGAATGTTTGACTAAATTAAAAAGCCAAAAGCCAATACAAAATGTATAATCCATTTACCAAACAAGACCTTAGCATGACATTTAATGAAATTACTTCAATTATTAAATCAAGTTATAATCTTTTGCTTGTATTTTCTTTGATTTTTTATCTAACACAAAACTCAAAAGAAGGTGACTCCTTATAAGCTGGGAAAGTGTGTGAATTTTGAAGTTTTGGTGACTATTGCACATCAGTTAAGCTAGCTACTTTCGTGTATAATTTTTTTAGAAAAATTGAAATTAATAATATTACCTATTACCGTTTTGCCGAAAGCAATCACCACCCAAAATCCCTAAATCACCTCCCCCACCGCATAAAAACCCCCAGTTACCCCTCTCCCACCAATGTGAACCCTAGCGTTAGGGTTCCGATGGTGGGGGAGGGGCGGCTGGGGGTTTTTATGCGGTGGGGGAGGTGATTTAGGGATTTCAGGCGGGTTTAGGGCTACGGGATTGGTTGTTTGAGGGAAAGGGGCGCCGGTTAGGGCGTGGCTAGCATGGGGGAGGGGGTTTGGCCGCAGCAGGCCGAGGTCGGGGATTTAGCCTAGGGGATTTAGGCTAGGGGATTTAGGCTAGGGCGAGGATTTGGGCTAGGCCAGTGGCAGCCCGACGCTGCCGGTGGTTGCGTGGTTGTCATGGTTTGGGGGCTTGGGGTTGGGTTTTTTGTTTTTATTTTTTTAGTTTTTTTTTAATATATTTTCAACCATTAACGTGATGACACGTGTCAATTAACTTTTAAAATTTTTTTTTACCTGTTTAATAGGTTACTGGTCACATGGGACTGTTTTGAGCGAATGACCCCTAAAGTTGGGATTATTTAATAACAATCCAAATTTGGGATTATTTAAAGCGAATACGTGAAAGTTGGGATTATTTTTAGCAATTTTTCCTAACTAAAAACCTCCTTAAATTTATAGGGCTTCCTTCCCTCTTCCCTTCCCATTCCCTTGCCATGGCAACCCCTCCTTCCACGCCTCCTTGTACCCGTCACCACCCTATCACAACCACGGAACCGAACAACCACCCCTCTCCTCTCCTTCTTCCTCCTCTTCTGCCACCCCTTTCCACGACCCCTTTGTCGAAACCATATCCCACCTCAAAGACCCCATGAAAACGGGTAAAATCAAACCTTTTACTCTATCTTGGTGAAATTAAATTGGTGAGGAACGATTTGATGGAGTTTGGTGAAAGTAAACCATTGATTTGCGGTTTTCGACGAGGGTAAGGGTTTAGTGGGTGGTTTGGGTGAAATTAAATTGGTGAGGAACGATTTGATGGAGTTTGGTGAAAGTAAACCATTGATTTGCGGTTTTCGACGAGGGTAAGGGTTTAGTGGGTGGTTTCGTGGTGGTGGAAGGGTGGTTCCATGGTGGGTTGGGTATGATTTTAATGTGGGAGGGTGGTGTTGGTGGCAATGAGGCGGGTTGGGTTCCTCGTGGTGTGCCAGTTATGATGGCTATGGAGTGTGGTTGCACTAGTGGTGATGGTGGGGGGTGAGGAATTGACGATGCCATTGTTGATGAGTGTTGCTTTGTGGTGATGGTGAGTAATGCAGTGTTTTTGAAGGTGGTGGTAAGAGGAAAGGGGAAGGGGCAGTGGTGGATGGTGGTAGGAGGAAGGGGTGGGGAGGTGGGTGGTGATTATGATGGGTGGGGGTGAAAGAGGTGGGGTTATTGGGTGGTGTAAGGGGTTTTGGGTGTTCTAAGGTGGCATCGGTGGGGGCAATGGCGATGTTGCTGGTAGTGAGGTGGTGGTTGCAGTGAGGAGAGATGGTTGTGAGGGTGGTGATGGGAGGAGAGGTCTATAAAAAAAAATTGAGTTTATATTGTAAAATAGGTTGTAGGTTAAAAGAATCATTTTAAGAAGATGAAGGGGAGAAGTGGGATTATTTTGAGATTACGTTAAGGTGGGATTGTTTTCAGCAAATTAGTTAAAAGGTGGGATTTAGTTTCAATTTTTCCTTACTCCTCATTTAATCTAATTATTAATACATCTCCTACATAGTCTTTTATCCATTGATGCAACAAATACTAAATTATCATAATCTTTTTTACTTTTCTTGCTTTATTTTCTACTATGTGTTTCGTTTTTGATACACCTTTGGTTACATTTCATTGTTGTTTTGCATTTGTAACCTTTTTGTGGAGTTTGGCTTCCTTGACTGAGATACTATATTTCATATATTGAAACTTTATTTACTTGCTTTTGGGTCTCTATTCATGCAACCATTTTTTTCACTCTTGTTTTTGTTTTTTGTTATAAGCTGGTAACCTTGCAGTTATCTATCATGACTATCAAGACCTTTTTTGTCATAAATTGATCATTGATCTGTAACAGTAAAATTTTAACACACCTTTAGTATGAGATGTAGTATTCTTAAATTAGGTAAAGTGAAGTTTTCCAATAACTATTTTTCCTTGCCAATTATTTGCCCTAATGTCTTTGGATACCTAGTGAACAACAATAAAACTTTAGGGATTCAGACTTGGTGCCTCAGGCACCCATTTGGTTTCAAAATTCATATATACACCAGGTATCCCCCCCCCCCCAAAAAAAAAAAAAGCTCCCCCTCGCAATTAGCTAACTCTTCACTCTCATCTTCATTTTCTGGTAGCAGGGGATGGGTTAGAGGCAAGCGGAAAGGATAGTTTGTGGGTAGAGGAGAGAGATGTGGTTAAAAGTTAAATGGAAAATGAGGAAAGAGAGTGGTGGTAATTGTAGGGGTACTACATACCTGGTGTAATTCTGAAATCATAAGGATACATGGGTACCTCTTATAAAGTACGAGGCACCTAATGAAAGCCCCTAAAAGTAAAATTGTATAATAGAGGTAATTTTGTGTCTTTGGAGCTGTTTCTTCTTAGGAGGGTGTGGATCTAGTTACATTTACAATTCCCATGATTTCATAACCATTTTATTATTGACATTACATCACATAACTGATGTATAGGATTAAGGTTTTCAGCAATTTGTTTTATACGTAAAAAGTAAGATTAGGGTTTTCAGCAATTTGTTTTATACGTAAAAAGGTTTGATTAGCTGTCCATTCACTTGCTATGTTGGGAAATTAGACCATTAGACCATTCACTTGGTATGTTGGGAAATTGGAATGGGTGCTATAGAGATGCACTGCTTTTATCTTTCTGATAATTTGGTTACATCTGGATAATATCTTTCTTTATTTTATTTAATTTACTTATTTTTTTGGACAATGTAGGTTACATGTGTTTCATGGAAAGATAAGGAGTTAAACATGGTTGATACTCCTGGACATGCAGACTTCGGTGGGGAGGTATGTTAGTGATATTCTTTCAATACAAGAAGTAAAAATTGTTATATTTTGTTTTTTTGGTTTGTATTTTATTGAGAATTGTGCTAATGTGATACTCCCTCCATTTGTTTTCTATTTTTTTTTATTTTTTTTAAGTGCAACTCTTTCCTAAATAGGTCATCAATTAGTGCAACAATTCTATGGTAGAAATCCTTTATTATCTCTCTCCTATCATAGTCTCCACTCTTACTTTTATTTTATATCCTTCCTCTCACATCATTTACTTTAAAAAAAAATAAAAAAAATACTTTGCTCGCTTTCTCTCTACGGTAAATTTAAAATCCCCAACAAACCTTACTTGCATAATATTCCAAAAAAATTTATTCAAATGCCTAAAACTGTGTGATTGTTAGGGGTGTTTGGTTCACAAAATTTAGGTATGAGGTATAAGTTTAGAATGGTTTAAACCCATACATTATGTTTGTTTTATGACTTTAAGAGTTTCAAACCCATACCTCAAACCCCCAAGGTATAGGGTTTAGAAACATAGGGGGAAGTTGGGTTTGGCTCCATACCAATACTTTTAGGTATTAAATAAAAGAGAAAAAAGACTTCATTCCATAATAAACCAAACATATGGTATTAATAATCAAGTTTCAAACCCATACCACTTTGGTTTCATTCCTAATTCCTACCCCATACCAATTTGCAAACCAAACGACCGCTTAAATGTTGCACTTTAAAAAAAAAAAGAGGGAGTACGAAGTACTATTTGATCATTAAATCTAGGATGAAGGAAGCAGAATTTGAATTTACTTTACTTTTTATTTCTTAATTTTTTTTTTTAGTATTTAGGGTTAATTTTTGACGTCTCAACAACTTAAGTCTAACCGTCTTGCCGGAAACATGCTCAAGCATATACAAGGTTAACGACAGAAGGTATATAGTAAGTCTTTGTTGTGCAATATGTCCGAATTATCTATAGTTTGAAGAAGAATTTCTTGAGTTATGTTGGTCTCTTTGTTTTAGCTAGTATAAGTGTCAATAAAGAGGTTTTATATTCCTTGTGGATGGTGGGGGGACTTTGGAGGGAGGAGGGGGGTCATTTATTTTTTCTTAGAATGCTTTAATATTAACTTCTTCAAAGCTCACCTAATGGCTTAATTTTGGTGCTGGGTCTGATATTTGTGAGAGAGAAAAAAGAATGTTGCTATTTATCAATAACCCGCCACTAAATTTAAGGAGTCTTTAAGAATATTACTGGTAAAGCCACTCATTTGGAACCGGGAAGATAACCCAAAAGATTGATATTAAGAGATGAACATGTAAGCTTTAAAGCAATCCTTTGTTGTAGCAATGTAGCGTTAAAGATGGATTAATGTTGCTATTTATCAATAAGCCACCACTAAGTTTAAGGAGTTTTTGAGAATATTAAAGGTAAAGCCACTCATTCAGATTGGGGAAGAGAGCCAAAAGATTGATATCGAGAGATTAACATGTATGCTTTAAAGCAAGTCTTTGTTGTAGCTTTAAAGATGGAATACACTTGATCAAGATTTTAAACTTATTTAGCGAAATGAGATAGAGATCTAAAATCCTTTGGTCTGAAGACTCTGCTGGTGAAGGTTTTCGTGTACTGTGAGAGCTGATGAGGAATATACTATTGGTTAATTGTAAACAAGTGGTATTACCTTTTTTTTTTTTTATTTTTTTTATTTTTTTTATTTTTTTTACTAATCATGCATTTTCTTAGTTATCCTGTGTTGTTAGCAAGATTGTAAGCTTGTAAGAATACCTCCAACGTGTGCCCTTTGTATCGTGTTAGTATTTCTTTTCCTTAAAGTTGACAATGGGCATTCATAAACTTTGTATAACATTAGACTAGTTGAATTTCATAGATCCTCATTAACAGAATTGATAGGGTTGCTAGTTGATTTGCCAAATGAGAAAAGCTCCTTTTTAATGGTACAGGTAATTCACATAGAAAACTTATGTAATTATTTTGTGCTCAATGTACCAGATTTACCATAGGTTGTATCATGCGAATTCGTTTTATTACACACCATGAAATATTGATCCCCCCCCCCCCCTAATTGGAGACTTTAAGTGATATGGTATGCCTTTTGTTTACTTTTTTTACCCCCTTAATTAAAGTTTAATTGTATTTGGATGATGGAGCTTACATGCAGTAAAAATTTAAATACATGTGAGCAAAGTGGGTATATCTTATCTACATAAGGATCTCAGTATCTCACCAACCTTTTTTTTATCAAATTTCATGCTTAACATCACTTCTTTATGTGATTTTTTCCATTCGCCATACATACTGTATAATGTATATAATTATGAACAACTTATATAATCCCTTTTTGGTGGATAGGTTGAGCGAGTTGTTGGCATGGTTGAAGGTGCAATTTTAGTTGTAGATGCTGGTGAGGGTCCACTTGCCCAAACAAAGTTTGTTTTGGCAAAGGCGTTGAAATATGGGTTGCGTCCTATACTACTATTGAACAAGGTGGATAAACCTTCAGGTGAGTATTATACAAAAATTCTCATGGATTGAGGGGTATCATATATTTTCTCTTTATAGTATGATAAGCCAAGATAGGAGGGCTCACTATAATATTAGAAAATTAATAAAGGTTCCTCCTCTTGAAGAAATAATATTAAAGTTGGTTATAAGTTACTATAGGGCTTGGTGACTCGAGTTTGAATTTGAGAGTCGTCATAAAATATTCTAAAGTGAAGGACCCAAAGGCTATCCAAAATTCAAACATGAAGTTGGAGACATGGGTGACAATAACATTATCAAAGCTTTAATCCCAATGATGGGTAGCTACATGAACCACCAATGATCATGAGCTATAATCTTCACCCTTCATCCCCCTCTTTGGAGTGTTATATGCTCCTATAAACCAATTTGCCTAATGCACATGTTTTTAGGATGATGAATATGAAAATAAGATAGTGGGGTTTGGTAGATTAAAGGTGAATGTAAAAAACAAGACAATGAAGTTTGACTGATAAAAATTGAATAAGAAAAATACGAAAGTAGTTTGATTGGTTAAAAGTGAATAAAGATATAGATGATGATGAAATAAGACTTTTATTTAGGGACAAAGTTTTAGGTAAAATGTGGCTTTTATTTGGGGCAGAGGGAGTGTCGTACATAACTCCTTCTGTTCATGTCATTTTAGGTCTCTCTTGACTTCAAGACTCATGATCTCACTATTATAATTTTCTTACCGACTCTTCTTCCTATCTTAGTTTCAAGTACCCAAATCAGTGTAATTGATTCCTCCTTATTTACTTTTAACATTTGCAACTCCAACTTTTCTCCGCGTATTTTCATTTCTAATTCTATCCTCTAGATGTTTCCACACATCGCATCTTTGCTAGTCCCATTTTTCTAACATGGTCTTTCTTGGAAGCACAACTTTAACTGCACTCCTTTAGTACCAAAGGTATGCTGTTGTCACACAGTATCCCTGTTGTAGTTCTCCATTTGCTCCACTTGTAATTAATTTCATGGTTCACAATCTTCACATTATGTTTCATATCTCCATATACTATGTTTTACCCTGACTATTCTAAACCCTCTCCATTTCTCTAATTTAGCATTTTTCCGTACGTTAGTCTTGTCTATCAGTAGTACAGATGTCGTCATGTAAAAAGCATATACCATGGTTTCATTCTGGATAGACTGTTATTTCATAGACTTTGTTGTTTTGTCCAGAACTGCTGCAATGTAAAAGAAACTAAAAGAGGCTTAATGTTGACCTGTGACAATTTAAAAATCCTTTGTTATCAAATGTCGTCACATTTGTTTGCACATATTGGTACATGTCCTTAGTTAATTCAACATATTTTTTAGTAGTGCTTTTCTTAGCCACTTCCTACTAATGTACTTTTCTTGGCACCAATGCACCAATAAAGATTCTTGCTCCAAATCCTTCTTTCTTGCCTAGTACTCCATAAATTACCTTATCAAATACTTCCACTAATGTACTTCTCTTGGCACAATATAAAGAATCTTGCTCCAAATCCTTCTTTCGCGCCTAGTACTCTATCATTTGCCTTATTAAATGAATCGCTCCATGGTTGCACTCAAATTGGTTTTTCGAAATACTAGTACATATCCTTGATTAATGCTTTATTACTCTCTCCCACAATTTCATAGTATGACTCATAAGCTTTTCTTTGTTATTACTATTCAATACCAAGGTTCTTTTTCTCCAATTTTTCGGGATCCAGTTTGCCCTTCAAAATTTAATAAGCTCATTAACTATCTCGTGCCAACTTTTTCAAAACACCTCCAGACCTTAATAGGAATATCTTATAGACAAATTGCTTTCCTTAGTTTAATTCTCTAGTATTGCCTTCGCTACCTCCATTTTCTGATCCTTATAATCCTAATTAATTCTTCCCATTTATAGAGATGTCCCGTGTGACACCCCCTTGACATTCATTGAACAACTAATTGAAAAATCCCATCCTCCTTTTCTTGATGTCTTCTTCCTGGACCAAAATCCTTTGATCATAATGTGTATAGACTCCACCATGTAGTGGTCCTTGTTCATCAGGTGTCTTCTTTTTTCCATCCTATGAATAAACTTCTTCCCCTCATTTGAATCCAATTTGGTATAAACCTTCCCATTCCATTTCCTTTGTGAAGCACCGCCTCTTTTTCCTTAACTTTAGCATCCTTTTATTTTGCAATGTTTACACATTCCTACAATTACCCAAGGCCAAATATCATTCTCTCTCTTTTTTTTTTTTTTTTTTTTTTTTTTTTTTTTTTTTTTCTTGATTAGTGCTTTTACGTCCATATTCCACCATGATTTATTCCTGCACATATAACTGTCAATTCAGGTCATATTTGGATCAGGTCAATATAGTTTCCATGTCTGTTGGGTTTGGGGCTTATGGCTGGTAAACTTAAATTGAGTCAGGTCTGTTCATAATTATTACTTCAGTATCAGATAGGCTCATTCTACAGGGTCTAGTTTGGCTGGGATCAATATTTAGTCAGGTCAAGTTTGAATCCAATCATATAATTGTCAGGTCAGATTTGTAGCAATATGTTGTTAGAACCAAAATCAAAACAAATATTAATAATAAGTACTGATAATATTTTTAACAATGTAAACAAATTAAAGGTCAACTACTAAAGGTTAAATTTAGTTTCACTTTATCGTTGGCTTTTGCTCTTATATTAGTTTCGAGTTAGGTCAATGATGAGTCAGGTTAACAATGGGTCAGATATCATTGGGTTACTGTTTATTATGGATGAGGTCATTAACAAGTGTGCCATGTTAAAATTGGTTTAAGTGAAATTGGTTGCTTGATATCATACTGGGTTTGGTTTGGGTTATAAGCCTCCATTGTTTGGGTACGTGTCAGATACAGGTCTTTGCTGGTTGGGTCAGATTTTGACAACTCCACCTGTACCATTGATTTCTCCTTTAATTCTCCTACACCTCCTTGTCAACTCTAGATTATCTAGAAACAACTCATCTTTGCCTAAGCCAAGTTGGGGTCCATCTCTCTGTTTGGCTTCATTTACTACTTGAAGACATATGATTGTATGTATGATTTATGATATTTTTTGTCCTAAAAGAATTACTAGTAATACTTCGTGACAAGGAAAATTATCTTTAAATAAAATAATTAAGATAAAAGAGATATTAGAGGTTAAAAAGGCTACATGGAAATTAGTGAAACACAAAGCTAGACTGCTAGGAAAAGGACAGATCTAAACACAAGAAAACTTAGAAGAGGCCAGTCAAACTACGCCATACTTTTGACGAACTCAATTCTCACAATCTCACTCTTGTTTTACTATTGAAAGAAGGTAAACAAAAATAAAAATAAATAAAGAAAAAGGGGACAACCTGCCCCCTATATATATATATATATATAAAAAAAAAAAAAAATAGGATAGAGAGGAGAAAAGAAAAGCCCTATTGTTTTGATTGTTGTTCATGTGGATCTCAACTCCAAATTTAGTTCTAGGGTTAGGAAGTGTAGAGTCCATATACTCCCTTTCAGGTTCGACCCATATTTTCTGCACTTTGGTCAGGTTGTGTCAACACGGATATGGCTGGGTCAAATGGTAAGTCCTAGCATCAAAATTACTTGATATATACCAGAAAGCTCAGGACATGGGCCTCATATTTATATTGATTGGACAAGGTTGGGCTATTAATCTTGACTTAGGAGGTGGATGACTTCTTATTGTCCATACTTTATATAGGTGTAGCTAGCTATTTGCTATATGTGTTGTTTAACTTATTAGTTTTGTTTGTATTTTAATTGAGGAGTTCTGTTTAGTACTAGAATTTTCATATAAGTGTTTTTATTTTCATTTGTATATGTGAAGCATTCAGTGGTCATTTGTTAACCTTTGTGCTTAAATGATGCTTATGCAGTATCTGAAGAGAGATGTAGTGAAGTGGAAAGCCTGGTGTTTGATCTATTTGCAAATCTTGGTGCTACAGGTTTGTAATTTAAATGAGAATGGCCGCTTGATGAATGCTACTTTATTTATAATTTATGTCGTCTCTGCAAATTAATAGTGCATGACATAATTTTTAATGCTCTTGTAGAGGAACAGTTGGATTTTCCTGTTCTCTATGCTTCTGCAAAAGAAGGATGGGCATCATCAGAGTACACCAAGAGCCCCCCTGAAGAAGCTAAGAATATGTCGGATTTGCTTGATACCATAGTCAGACATGTTACTCCACCAGCAGCGAATCTTGATGCTCCTTTCCAGATGCTGGTTTGTATTTGAATATGCATTACTAGAAACTTTCTTGGATTGTGATTTGTGCATGTGCATCTCATGTATTCAGAGAGAGAGAGAGAGAAAGCAGGGTAGGGCCTAGTGGATTGAAGAAGAGAAGGGTTAAACTACCTCTTTTATTCAATGCTGCAATTTTAATCTTATCGTAATTTAAGAAAACCTAATAGGCTATAGAACATGGAAATGAAAACTTGAAAAGAAGAAACACAACATTGAAAGTCTTCTAAAATTGAGTGCTCATCAAGCTTCCAAGCCACCATTGTCAAGGCCGTAGTCCTTTGGGATGGATAGTTATTCGTGTACTTGATGCACTATCATTTAGTTTATTTGTTTGGTGTTAGCTTTAAACCTTGAAAAAAGATTTTTATACATTCATTTTAGGTCTCCATGATGGAAAAAGACTCCTTTGTTGGAAGAATATTGACTGGTCGCATCTCTTCTGGTGTACTTCGTGTTGGTGACAAAGTGCATGGACTGCGTGCCACTGATACAGGAGTTCAAAAGATTGAGGAGGGAAAGGTCAGTTCCTAGATCTGTCAGGCCTTTAAGTCATTGGACAATTTTTTTTTTTCTTTTTTTTTTTTTTTTGGCGTACCACATTCACTATTGTCCTCGTTGCCTTATTTTTGGTGAATATGTTCTAATCAAGAAATAAAAACCACTTATCCTGCTGGTGCCTATAATTCTGTTATTGTGATTTGGTGCAAGTTACTAAGTCCTGTAATAATAATTAAGCTACGGGATACAAGATGAAAAAATCCTTCAGTGGCTGATAATATTTAACTTCAGTTCACTATAAAGGCAAAGATTTCTAACCAAGCATGTTGGTCTATACACTTCTCTTGACAACCAAAAATTTGACACTTAAAAGTAGTTCAAACAAAATAAGCTTTATGCTTTTCCAAATATTTCTAATTCTGTCAATTAGATTGGATATACGGTTCATTAGTAATTTAGTTTAACATGGGTTCAATGTTTTCTTGTAGGTTGTCAAACTGATTAAAAAGAAGGGTACTAGCATGTTTTCTGTTGACAGTGCTGGAGCTGGTGATATTATTTGTATGGCAGGTTTGGCAACTCCTTCAATAGGGCATACTGTTGCTAGTACAGAGGTCTGTTTGTTTCTGTTGTTTTGTTCATAATAAAGTTTTTTCATACTATTCCTCACTTTTCTCACGCTTGACAATTATGTTCTAGGTCAATCTCTTGTGTGTTATAGACTAGGAAAATCAGACTGTAATACTAATTTTATAGAAGATAGGTTAAGGTGAAAGCTTGTATATTTGATTGATATTCAAAGATAACTGTCACAAAGAATATAGCTTGAAGCAATAACTCTCCAAAAGTAGCTTGAGGCTACAACTCTCACTTCATACCATTCACACAAGTCACATGGACAACTATTGCTCTCTTGCTAAGCTTATATATGAAGCATCACCATTACAAAGCTACCCTTATGTTAATTTAATATGTCTTGCTCTGCTGCTGCAACAATCAGTCCCAAGTTCCTCCCCTCATAGTGCTCTATTGATTAGTTTTGTCCTCTTCTGGTGAGATGTTCTGTCCCCCCATTGGCTGCTGCTGATTGCCTTGTTTCCTGTCCACTTGTGACTGTTTCCTCCTCCTAACAGACCTGGATAGTTGGCTATGGTGCTGGGCCAGCTCGATACATTACATAGTATTGAGCATTTCTTTCATTATTTGCTACACCTAAAACAAATAATTCTGGTTGATTTCCAGGTTGTTACTGTTGATCTGTTAAATATTTAAGTTTTATGTAAACCATGTACTGCTTGATTGGATACGTATCATATTCAGTATGGCTGTATATTCCGAAAATTACCTAAGTGATATTTATAGATAGTTGCTTCTATCTATTATCTTACTGTTATTCAACATTAGTGATTGTGTCTTTTGACATACAATTTCATTTTATTCATTTTGTTGTGCACATAGATCCAAGATCCTACTATGGCTTGGCATTATATTAGGGGATAATGATAAAGTATTGGTGAGATTTTTAATTTTGACTTCTAGTCTTTAAAGCTATATGACATTTAGAATTGGTTTCAATGATTAAGGGACTAGATCAAGAAATTTTGAAAATCAGAAGGCTATGCTTGGGACACTTAATGCCTATATTTTGGGACAATCTAAAATAGATTGAACACACTGCTATTGGGAATGCTCTTGTCCAACTTTTTCCGTTTGGTTATCATGGCTGAAAAGTAATAAGAATTGTCACGAGAAGGCTATATACTAAGGGGTCAATGCCTAGATGATAAGCATTAGATGCCATTTCTAGATCGATTCCAGTGAACCCCTGGGCCATTACTGGATGGTGGACACTTGTTTATACCATCTTAAGGTTTTTCACCCTGTTAGAAGGCCCTATTAGAAGGGATACTCTTGACTTGGAAAATTAGAAACTTCCAAAACATAAGCTAGAAATATTTACAATGCCTTGTCAACTCTTAAAAGAAGGGGAAAGCTGTGGCTGTTATACTGTTTGTCATTTGACTGCCTTGGAGTTGCTCTTCTAGAATGAAGTGGAACATTAACGGTGCTCAGTATTTAAGTACTTTCCTCCACCTCGGTTGATGTTGCAACACTAGCTGTAAGTAGCAAAAGTTTCTCCACAGTAAGAGGCAGTTGCATTTCCTCCACCAACAGAAGTAGCCGGATTTCCTCCACCATCTGCAATCCTGTCACTGTCGGATTTAGCTGCAAATCAATGATGAAATTAGCCACAAGGCTACGAGATTTCTCAATACTTTTGTTCCCTAATTTACGTTTATGGTTTGCTAGTTCATTTCCTATCATATCCTTCAGATGTGATATTTCATTAATTGCCTTTGGTTACTTAAATGCTTCAATTACATATTTTGTTTCATATTCCATTGTTGAGAACTTTTAATTTTGTTAGTTATGATGGGAGAAATTATTCTATACTAACTTTTTTTTCCAATGTATAGATCCTTGTTATATTTAAATTAATTTGTACATTATAAGTAGCTAATCTATTATTAATACTCTTGCTTTGTTAATTTCTCAGTCATTGTGTGCTATTTGTTAATTAGGGATTACCATGGCATCCAATTGACGGAAAGACCAAAAGAGATAAAGAAGTTATGGAAATAGGATTTATAAATAGTTTTGTTGTATGCTCCACTGCCTGAAAGCTGTTATATGTGAATTACCGTTTTTGGGGGTGGGCTGGTGGGGTACTTTTTTTTAACAGATTTTGACAACTAATTTAAAAAATAGTTATTATACTATTAGAAGTGGTATAGTAAATGCATAGAGGCATATAGCTTAGGTGTTAGTGTCGGAAGTTGCAGATTGAACCTTTTATCAAAGGCAAAGTGTGCGAATACATTCTCCTAGGTCAAATGTCAAAAGCTGTAGATTTTAAGGCCCAAATTTGTTTTTTACTGTTTTATAAGTTTGAAAAAGGCTTTACCCACAATCAAGTGGCCAGTACTTTGATAATAGATCTGCCCCTGGCTTTTTTTATTTTTTATTTTTAATTTTTAATTTTTTATTTTTTTTATCAGCTTAGTTTTTTGAATATCATCCTCTAATTTTTTGTTCTTTTCATATTTATAATTTTTAATTGTGTCCATCTGTGTGTGTTACCGTTATTGATAGTAAATGAATAACAATCATATTTTGTGCTTTGAAATTTTGTAAATCATATACTGCTTTGAGTAATTTTTGTTTAAAATTTTAATATTAGGTAATGGATGCACTTCCTACTGTCGAGTTAGATCCTCCAACCATTTCAATGACTTTTGGTGTGAATGACTCTCCACTGGCTGGCAAAGATGGAACTCATGTAAGTATTGTTTTATATCATTTTGCAGTATTCAACTTGCATGTGCTCTGTTGTAACCCTTATACTAACCATATTATCTCACAAGCGTGAATTACGAATCTACTATTTTCGAAGAAATTGGATCATGTTAATTATCTGATTTCTGTAGGTTCTATGTGAAAAATGAACACTACTGACCTAATTGTGTTTTTAACTACCAACTTTTGTGGTGATTTATCATTGTGCATGTCTCCTTTATTACAAGTGAATACCAGATCTAAGTTCAAAATTCATCTTTTCTCTTTGTGCTCTGGGTGGGGCAGTGTGTGTGTGCCGGGGGGGGGGGGGGGGGCGGTGGGGGGGAAGTTAATTATGTCAAACTTTCATATAAGATTTTCAAATCTTCATTTTTTCCTTCTTTTAGCAAATTGGTGCGGATCAGACAAAAAATCAGGCCCCTGGTACTCACTGGTGATCGGTTGGGGTAGTGGGTAACTCACCTTGAATAGGAGTAGGTTTTTGTTAACTTAGTGTTTTTTTTCAAAAAAAAAAAAAAATCTTAATTCTAATGGAATACTATTTTAATGGAATATATTCCTCACTCGTAATTCTACTTTTCATTTGATGGAGTTGTATTTACCACCATAAATCGTGGAATTATCATATACTCCCTTATACAATGCATATTTCGTTGGTGCTCCAAACTAATTTTTTGTGCTTGGTGATCTAATAGTTTGCTTGGATATCAACTCACTTACTTTTTGTATTTCGAGTAGTTGACTGGTGGAAAAATTGGTGATCGGTTAATGGCCGAGGCAGAAACCAATCTTGCGATTAATGTAATCCCTACTTTATCAGAGTCATTTGAAGTACAGGGAAGGGGAGAGCTCCAACTGGGTTAGTACACGTGTTGTTGTGTGTGTTTTATTTCAATTCGTTTCTGTCTAGTAGTTGACTTTACTATTTGCTGAATGTTTCTACACAATTTGCACATCTCGAAACTACTTTTAATCCCAGTTTGTAGATCCTTTTCTAGATAAGTTTTCTAATATTTTATTCGCTTTGTCTCTTGATTCTATTATTTCTTATTTGGGCCCAAACAAGCAATTCATTTCGTTTGGAGACTTGGCCAAAAAGTTTCAGCTTTCAGTTGAGATTTTTTTTTAGGCCATATTTAGAATTGCTTATCTGATCTAATTTTTATTTGATTTTATCCTTACCTAAATATGTTTGATTATTTTTTTTCTTCTTTCAATCATCAGATTCACCACTTTTTTATTTTATTTATTTTAGTTATTGTCGCTATACTGTAAAAAATTTGTTCCTTGCACAAAATTACTTAAATTAGTACTAATTACGTAAACTGCCTTAGGGTGTGCCTGGATTGGGTGGAATGAGGAGTAAAAGTTATGGGTTGGAATTAGGCCTAGATAGAGGCTAAATTATAACTTTTTCCTTTCCATATGAGAGTAATACATTACCCTAAACCACCCCCCTCCCCTAGGGTAACAATTACCCAAGTAACACTTCAGCCTAGCAACCAGTCTCACTCTCCTCTCTTCTCCTCTACCCACTTACATTCTCTCTTTCTTCCATGGGAATTCACGATTTTCATCTTGTAATTATTTTTGGTTTCTTTTGTCAAATTACTTTGATTTCATAGATAATAGCTACAATCCTATGATAGTTTCAGAATTCCTCTTCTTTTGGTATTCTGATGAAGCTTGCGTCGTTAAATTTTGACCTCTCTTTCATCAGAAAATCATCTATACCTTATGAACCATGGACTAAAGGAGATGATTTGAAAAAATCCTCCATATCAAAAGCAGAAAATATTAATCAATCTTGTAATTGTTATTTGTTACTAACATACCAAACTTTCAAAATCAGGAAATATTACATCATAAACTACTTGTACCTATTTATAGTAGTGTAAATTGCTGTAATGTTAGGTCATGGAAATATGTGACATTTGTCTTCTACTGGAGTTTTACTGACTTTTTCTATCTGTGTCCCCAATACAGGAATCTTAATAGAGAATATGAGGCGTGAAGGATTTGAGCTATCTGTCTCACCACCTAGAGTCATGTGAGTTTTATTTATTTATTTTTTTTATTTTTATTTTTTCTTTTTTGTGAATTATGATATGATTTCTAGAAAATGACAGTATATGTTGTAAGCTACCTATTTTGTTCTACTAGATTAATCCTCGCGTGATCAGATTTAACTGAAAAACCTATGAAAATTGTTTATAATAGGAACATATTTCTACACTGGTCATAGGTGCTTCATTATTCTTAGATTAATCCACTTACGTTACTTCATTTTTCTTAGTATGTGGATCGATAGTAAATGAAAAGAAAGTTATGGAATGGAATGAATTTATTTCATTGGGATACTTTGAATAAAGTTTCATTGGCTATCATATTGCACATGAATTCAATTCAAAGTCATGCTTTATTAGATTTATGTAGATGTCCAATTTAATTATAAAAAACCCCGATGTTTTAAACCATATCGAGTAACTTTTTTTGGGTGGATTGATAGTTTTGAACCATTTAGTCGTATTTTAATTAGCTAATAACTTGTCACCAAAGAATTAAAATTTTAAAACCATTAATATACTACTTCCTCCGTTTCACTAAAATTACAACACTTGCCTATTTGTGTTGTTTCAAACTAATTGCAACACTTCCTTTTTTGACAACTTTTACAGCTTTTTTCACCTACTTTCTTCATACTTGATTCAATCTTTCTCTCTCCTCTCCTCTCTATCTTCCTTAAAAATAATACTATTACTTTTAACTTTTAGCACTCTCTATCCTCTTGCATTAAATAGTTTGCCCATTACAAGTGTTGCAATTTTAGTGAAACACAGGAAGTGCAAGTGACCTTTATAAACTAGTATCAAATGTGATGATGTACAAATTAGTAGCAAATGTTGATGATGGTGTAGTGTTAAATTTGCTGCAATAGGATGGTATTAAATGAAAACTGCTCTAATAAATGTTAAAATAATGCAAAAGAGGTCTTTTGGCCCTGAAATTCAATGTAAATATACACTCTTGAGAATTATCATTTAATATTACTTATAATATTGTCTTTTCAATTGCTATATGTCTTGCAAGTAATGATCGAAAATAAAATTATAATATTACATTAGTCATGAGGCACTTTGTGCAACTCAAATCCACATCATTGATTTGGAATGGCTTGGTAGAATGGCTCAGATACCTGTGCTGACATGAACCGACATTGGCACGGGTACAAAATCTGGGTTAGATCCTCCATTTGTTACTTTAACACAAGTCAGAGAATGCCATAAATTAATGACAGAGAAAGAGAGGAAGGAGGGAGATAGAGAGAGATCACCACCGCAACCAACCCCACGAAACCACCACCACCCTGGTTCTGAAAGGCACATGAGTCCGAACCCTAACCCAGAAATCGTCACCATCACCACCTTCAATAAAACCCAAAACCCATGCCCTAGACCCACCTCTAACCCAGACCACCCAAAAATCCGGCAGCTCCACCCACCCACTCACCCCAATGTAACCAACTCATCACACTAACCCTAACCTAAAAAAATCGAACAAAATCCAAAAAAAAACCCAGAAATTTCGAAAATAAATCACCCAAAAAAATCGTAAAAAAAATACAAAATTGTAGATCTACAATAATCAACAATAAAAATTAACAATAAAACGGAAAATTAACAGTAGAAATACAATATAAAAATATACAATAAGCTTACAAAACAGAAAATTAACAATAAAAATTATAGATCTACAATAATCAACAATAAAAACACGAAACAAAAACGAAAAACGAAACGAAACAAACTGTAGATCCCATTTTGCAGCGGCAAACGGTGTCTTCGTTGTCGAGCTTTGAAGCTGTACACCGCATTTTTATGGGTTAGTTTTACAGAGAAATTTGAGAGAAAAGGAGAGGAAAGAGAGTGGGTTAATGGCGGCTTTCGAGTGATTTCATGGTGGTGGTTGTTTGGGAGAGAGAAAGAACAGTTTAAAAGGAAGAAGAAGGGTGGAGTGTAGTAGAGTAGAGACTAGCTTATTGTAATAGGAGAGAGAATGGTGGTGTGAGGGGCGGTGGTCGTGACTCGTGAGGGAGGAGGGATGAAGAGGCTGAAGGTGAAAGAGATGAAGAGGGTGAAGGAGATGAAGAGAGGTTGAAGAAAGAGATGAATGAGTGGTGGGTAGACTAGGAGATGAGTAAATGGGGTGGGTAGAATTAGGTTAATGATTTTAGATTAGATTAAAAAGGTTATTGTGATTAAAATAAGGGTAAAATTAAGAAAATCTGAATTTTTAAGTAAGGGTAAATTTGTAATTTTCAGGGTTTTTGTTTACTAAAAATAGAAAGAAAATAGAAAGTTGCACATAATGGTTAGCGGACTAAAATGGCAAAAGTTGCAGATAAAAATAAACGGAGGTAGTATAAAATTTAAAAATTAAGTTAACTACTCACTAGACAGGCACAGTAAGTTACTTGCGGTCGTCCGAGAGGATGGACTGGGTCGCTGGAGAGTATGGGCCGCCAGATCTGCTGGAGTTTAGACTTTAGAGCTGCCGTTTGGTTCTTTGGAAGAGAGAGGAGAGAGATTCAAAGAGGTGTGTGAGATTTTAGGGTTTGAGGTTTAGTAGAGTTAGAGTCAGTCATTACACTTTTATGTATGTGGGCTGGGCTTGTAATTTTAATTTTTTTTTTTAAAACGGTTATACGGATACAGATACGGGTATGTGGGTCAGACCCGTATCCAGATCCGTTTTTAGTGCAAGATCCGTATCCGACCCGGATCCGTCGGGTCCAATGATACAAGATCCATATCCGTGAAAACGGATAAGGATCCACGGATCCGGGTCGGATACGGATCCATTGCCATCCCTAATCATGAAGGAGGTGATTGCTAATCTTGTTTCTCAATTGTTTCCCTCTCTCTCTCTCTTTCTCTCTCTCTCTAGAAGGAAATGGACACACTTGGGCAGGAAAATATTGCATGATAAGCTGCCACCTGTCAACATTGACCTATGTTATAGTATTAGTATCAAGATTCTTCTTCTAAACAAAGATTGACCCATCATTTATCTTGCTTTCCATAAGCTGCAACTTCACCTAAAGCATTTCCTTTTAAATCTGCTTCTTGAAGAATTTTTTTAAAATCCCTAGTTTCATAAAAGGTAACTACTTCACCATTCAATATGTTAATATTTAGTAGAACAGCATTAAGATCCCCGAATTGCAGCCATGGTGAATCCTGCAACCCCAAAGCCTTCCTTGCCTATTTCCCTGTGCTCAACAGTATGCCGTTCATAAACCATAGTACATTAACTGGGCAATGTATAAACTGCTCATGAACTGATAAAATATTTAAATCGGTTTCAACAATCTTCCTGGCTATTCATAATTCCCCCCCCCCCCTTAACCTCTTCCAGAGATATGGTTTCTAATTGTACAAAACTTTCTGCCCCAGTTCCTTCTCTAAAATTTTCTATACTAAAGAATTCAGGTAAAGGAAAAGTAACATCCACAAACATCCTATCAAAGGTAGTTTTTTTTTTTTTTTTTTTCATTTGCATATAAGATACTACCAAAATGCTCCCAATCTAACCTAATGAGTCTCCACTCTAACAAATTAGAGGAAGGTTAGAATGTCTAAACCACAACGGGATAACCAATAATCTTTGATTTCATGTATTGAGTTATTGAGAGTTAAAAATGGAAAAAGAAAGGACGTCATTCACATTTAACCTTTTTTTTCAGAACTTTAGATGATATTCTGTTTGGAATTAGAATTATAATCTATGATTGTTTTTCCTAAAAAAAATCTTTCTGTATGCAGGGAAGATTGATTGATGGATAAATTGTACAATTAAACACTATCTTTGTATGGTATGGATTCACTGGTTTAAGAAAATATGTATTCCTATTATCAGTGTGGTTAAGTAGGATTAATGATGATTTTGACCCCATGTCTTCTTGTCTCTCAACTATTTTTTCTTTTTCTGTCTGTGTTTGGAAATTCACCTTATTTCTGCTATAGGTTGTTGATGATAAATTATTTATAATACCATATGATGCAATGGTAACTCTTTTCCCTTGTTACTACATGGTAGATTGGTAACCAACTACTTTGTCTGCTGAATCAGGTATAAAATTGAAAAGGGTGAAAAACTTGAACCATTGGAGGAAGTAACTATAGAGGTAATTACTATTGTTGTCTTGAGGGAGTGCACCAAGAGACAGTTTCCCTGAGAAAAATGGTTGTCTTATGGATACATATTATATTCTTGTTCCAGGTCAATGAAGAGCATGTGGGTTTGGTCATGGAAGCTCTATCTCATAGGCGAGGTGAAGTTGTTGACATGGGACCTGTGCCTGGTCATGCTGGGAGGACTAGATTGTCAATGATATGTCCATCAAGGTTGGTGATTTATGATTTTTTTCTTAATTATCTGTTAAAATAGTTCTTGGAGCTTGGGAATCAGCCTTTATGTTTTATTTGGGTGTTGTGGGGAGGGGGGGTGTTTAACAAAATGTGTCCTAAATGTTTAGAACTCTATTCCAGTGCCTTAATTGTTACAAATTGCTTTCATGGACTGCAGTCATCACTAAATTTTTATATTCCCCCTTTTATCTGGCAATGGGGACAGCTAAAACTCACAATTAAGCTGCTTTGTCATTATGGGGAATTATTGGACTTGACAAAGGCTACTGATATCTATCATTTCAAGATAATGGGGGCAAGATTTGAACAAATTACCTAGAAGTCATAGTATTGGGGTTAGAAGAATTAATAATAGAATCAGCCGTCATCACAAACTACTGCTGAGCATAAAGCAAAATTGTACGTTCTATACTGCTAAATACCACTTTGACCATTAGTGTATCCTAGAGATTATTATCTGTTTTTGTGCTATTAATCATTAATCTTTTTGTCTGCATGTGTCCATATTTCAAGTTTATACTTGTGTGTTATAGGGTTGCTGTTGAATAATGTACAGAGTTATGACATTCATTTCCCACTGAATTTCCTTACAAGACTTCTCAGCCCTTTATGTGATGGGGTTTTATTTCATATGCTTATCACACGGTTAGATGTTCCTCACTGTCAAAAAGCCTAGTAATTAAAGACAGAAAATTCAAGAAATGCAGATAACAGTTATAACTGCTGTATGTAGTGTTACAAGTTCATCTATGTTTTCCGGATAATGAGAAAGTATATACATTTACATCATTATGTATCTAGCTGTGCTTACAAATTCATCTATGTTTTCCAGATAATTCTGTATGTGGTTTAGCTGTGCTTCAATCTCTTCTTTGGTGTGTAGAAGAAGAGAATTTTGACAATTTAGCAATTAATATGTGTAGTAGGTAGCAGTAGTTGAATTTTAAATTTTCCTTTGTACTAGTGTTTGACGGTACATTTATCTTGTGCATGGACAATTTATGTATCTAGTCAACCATTGCAATGTTCACTTTCACAGAAACAAAGTAGGAGTCTAGATTATTCTTTAGGCCTTATGATGTGAGATTTCTTTTTTTGACATAATTGTTGCTCGACTTTTCACTTTTTTACTGTGCAGATAATCTTAGTTATATGGTAATGTTTCAGGGGATTGGTTGGTTATAGAAGTGTGTTCTTCAGTGTCACACGAGGAACTGGATTCATGCACCGGGCATTCCAGTGTACGTCTTGCTAACTCTCTTCTATGTTCCTGTTTGCTGTAAATACTAGATTCTTTTGACGTATATATGTGCATTTTTGACAGCTTATGGTAAGCACCGAGGTCCGTTAGGGAATGTTAGGAAAGGAGTATTGGTAAGTTATTCTTCAATCACTGTTTTATAGAATCTTAGCAGTAGTCGTTACCTTGGGGATTACATTTGCAGATTAGTCTGTTCAATTTTGTTGTAAGTTAAAATATACTTTCTCCGTGTCTATTTACTTGACTAACATTCCTAAAATAAAAATTTCATATTAGTTGACCCGTACTATATTTGGTATGCCATTGGTTGACAAAATTTCTAAATTACCCTCATAAAGTGTATGTAGAGACAACTTTTGGGGGTAATAAAGTAAATCATGTCATTCATTTAGACCAAGGGTCACCAACTACAATTTCTCTTCCTTCTTTTTAAAGATTGTTCCAAAGACTATGGGTCAGGTAAATAGAAACGGAGGAAGTATTTATTTGCTACATTACCTTTTTAGAGAAGCTTTTTCATAATTTCCAAAATAAGTTTTGATACTAGCCAGTCTATATGTGCGAAGGACATAAAGTTTTAAGTTTTTGTTGGTTACGGTAAACTAATTACAATGGCTTGTGTATATGATTTTTGAAAGAGTGTAGTGTAATGCGACTTGGCGTTACTTAATGATGTCAAATTTGAAGACAAAAAGTAGATAAATAATTGACATCCCAAATTAATCAATTAATGTGGTTGAGGAACTCTACGAAATGATGGAAGGCGCATTAGTAGTTATTATTTGCATAGTAATTTTATCTCGATGTTTGCTTACATGTTTTTACCATTTACTAGAGTGGGTTTTTCTTGTTTCAAGCTTATTAGGATTCTTTAATTATTCAGATTGTTTTAGAGATCGAGCTGTTTAGTTAGGGAGTCTATGAATTGAGCTCTTATCTTTTGGGTTTTCTTAGCCTAGTTGTTTCATGTACTATCAGCTTGTAATGCCTATTTAGGACACATATATCTTCAATAAAATCAGAATTGTGGAGTTTAAGAAATTGATTAGTGTTAGCTATAAAGTGAATAAGACTAGTATGTCCTCAAGTTTGAACACACGAAATCAGATTTGGTTCGTTAATGCACATTGTTAAACTTAATTTTCCTTCGGTAATTTGAATGGAAATATATGAAAACTAGATGCTATATAGGTATTGGAATGGACAAACATTACTATTGACATTGGCATGAGACTTCCTTTAAAAATTACGTATTTATTCATTACTATTGCCACCATCTATTAACACCTACTAAATAGGCACTGAAAATCTTGAATCATTACTATTGTGAAATGAACTTTAAACGCACCATAAGGGGGGCGAGGGGATTTCATAAAAAATTGGAGTGCTGCAAAGCTTCGCAATGGTTTTTGAGGCTTTAAAATTAATATGTGGTTTCCAATATGCTCCAATCCAAATTCAGATGTTCCTTCCAAACATCACAAAAGATATTTTTACATAGCATGAAGTTTGTGAAAGAAAATTTTTGTTGAAACTACCTTCTTAATACTCACTTTTGGAAACAACTATCTTCTAAATTTACATTTTCAAAAAAGCACCCTAAAAACCGAAAACGTTTGAGTAGCACTATGAAAAACGGATTCCATTCTCTAATTTCTTTTTTGTTTGTGATGCCCACTTTATGTTTTATTTACCTCTAATTTTTTTATTTCATCCTCATACAACTTTAATTTCTTGGTAATTCAAAGCAAAGATTAACTAAAAAAGCTCCAACTTTCATTGATTTGCAGTTATGAATCTCTAAACTATAAATTTGGGGAATTGGAGATTATAAATTTTGAATTAATGGAATTAGTGATTTAGTGTATTTAAATTTGGGGAATTAAGATTCTTAATCTGTGTAATTAGAGTTCTTAAATCTTTCTAGTTGTTTAGGGCTCTTAAAGCAATTTAGGGGTTTAGGGAATTAGGCGATTAGATTTGGTATTATCAAGGGGGGTGTTAAACACCGCCAACACTTTTTTATCAAAACTGCCGACATTTGACGTGAATGGACATCAATACCCCTTACTATACCCCCACCCATCTTCCTCTTCCTCTTTTATTTTTTCTCTCTCATCACCCATAAGGGCCACAACCACCGTCAACACAACAATGGCTATACAAGCGACGACAGTACGTCAGAGGTAGAAGGGCAGCGGCGGTAGTATGTCGGAGGTGGATAGGCAGCAACGGTGACGATCGGAAGTAATGAACCACATCACCTCTGATCTTTTTTTTTAAATCTCTGGCACCACGGTAACCGATTTTGGACGCCGGTCAACCGTGGTCAATCGGCGTGCAAAAGCGGTCACCCGGGATGGTAACCGGTTTTGGATGCCGATTACCGTGGTCAGCCGGCACTGGAAACCGATTATCGTCCCGGGTGAACGGTTTTGCGCACCGGTTGTTCTGGTCGCCAGAAATAAAAAAGCCCACCTTCCCGCGCGACGAGGAAGGTGGTGGGTCGTCGTTTTTCCGATGGCTGTTGACAGAATTGCTGTTGGTGGTTTGGCAACACAAAATATAATCTGGTACCTCTTGGTAGTTGTGGGTGGTGATGGTGCAGTGGCGGAGGTGGTTGTGGGCGGTGATGGTGCAGTGGGTGGTGGTCGTGGCTGTGGTGGCGTGGGTAGTGGTGGCGTTGATGGTTGCTTTTGTGGTGGTTGATGGTTGAGTTCGAGGGTTGATGGACTGAGAAGAGAGAAAGCAAAGTGGGGGGATGAGTAAGGGTAATTTTGTCCCTTCATCATTTTTGTTGGCGGTATTTAGCAATCTACATTATCAATTTGAGGAATTACATAGTATATTTTTGGGTGATGTGGGCGTATAAATTTGGGAACTATTGTGATTTGGCCTTTGGGCATGAGAATTAGGGTTTTTAATCATTAAAACTAGGTATTAAGGGTATGACTGACATTTTGCCTACAATTATTAGAGGGAAATCAAAGAAGTGAGTCCACATTCGGAAAATTCTAATATAATTTGTTTGTGGGTAGTTCTACTCATATATTTTTGGTTTTTATAAAGTAAATAAAAAAAAAAAAAAAAAACTGTTAAAAGGTAGGGTTTTTTTTTTTTTTTTTTTTTTTTTGTTTTTTTTTTTCCCCCCAATAGTGTGTACATAATAGGTTCAATAAAGATTTCTGTAAACTATTAATAGACACCTGAAATATTCTAAACTATAATCAGAATAACTTAAGTGAATAATATGGTTATTTTTACACCAAGTAGTACCTGTCTAGTGGTAAAGATTGCATCTCACCATAGACACTTTAGGTTGTGGATTCCCTTACCCTTCCCCCCCTCCGCACAAGGTTTTTGTCCATTAACCCGGGTTGAGTTGACTTGTGGGAGGTTTGGGCTTAAGGTTCTTAATTCTAGTATGATGCCTTCTCCTTACATTATAAAAAAAAAGTTTACTCTAACTTGACAAAATGCATGCATTTGTCTTTCTTACTCAATGCCCATCAATTACCTAAAACTAAATGAAACATTTTGCATCGGTATAATCTTATTGGTGGTACAAGAAATAGAGTTTTTATAGAGATGCAATGCTGAAGAGAAGCTTTGAAAAAGCACACAATGTTTTTTGTGCAATATTTAAGGATTATAGCAGACAATCAAATAGTTCTTTTTCTCCCATCATACTATATCATGTCCCCTTAAATTAATGAATTTAGGAAGTCACACTTTTGTTGGGGGCACTTTCTAGATGTTAATGGCTCTTGTGATTTGAAGGTTAAAAAGTATTACATATCTTGATCCTGATTGTATTTTACTTTATTGCACAGGTGTCCATGGGATACGGAGCTATTACAGCTCATTCACTGATGGGTTTGGAAGCACGTGGGATCCTCTTTGTAACTCCTGGGATGGAGGTTATAGTTCTGTCCTCTCTTTTATAAAAATGATTTTGGTCCTCTATATTACTGTATTTTACTTGAAATATTTTTGCAAATATAAACAAAAATAATTGACTTGTTTGCTTGCTATCTGGAATTGAGGGTATTGAGATACCATCAGTTTTAGTTTGTTAGTCTATTGCTGTTACTCAAACACGGGTATGTGTCTAGGGTGTGGGTACATATCCAAGTGTATGATACATCAAGGATGATTATTTCAGACACTGGGACACGCATAAATGGATCATATTTTGGAAGGTCTTTCCACGTGAGATTTGATGTAATATACACACATTTTCGGCTGACTTGCTTGTTAATTGTTAAAAGGCTTATTTGAAGCCCATTTGTGAGCACATACCACTAATGTTCTACTTTTCTTTCCTTGATTTGAACATTTTCTTCTATGACTCTGGTTTAAACTAGTTAAAGTGTCTTAGGTGAGCATTGAAGTGTCAGGTAAAGATTCCACACCCATGTCGGAGTCGGTATGGGAGTCGAAGGTACATATGTTGTTAGAAGTCAAATTTAAAGGCTATCGTTGGCTGGTTCATGGTTTAACGAGATCTACTGCAATATGGAATTTACTTCAACTAGCATTGTGTTACTCAGGTTCAGGGGTAAAAGTAAGAGTATTGACCATTGTGTCTATTTCTTGTGCATCTACCACAAAATACCACCTTAAAGTAGTAGTATTTATCAGATTCAGTGAAGTATTCTGTTGATAAAAAACAAATGTGCAATGGAGAACCTGAATGTTCTCCAGGACTTACAGAGGAGGTTTACCAGAAAATGTTGAAATGAAAGAGGAACCTGATTGTCTTCTGAAGGTGGTTATTAGTATAGCAATAGACAGTCAAAAGTTGAAAGAAGTAAATTAGGAATCATGTACATGGTAGGCACTAGGATCTTCCACATTGTATACCTGGATTGTCCTATGGCAGCTTTAACTTGGATAATAGAACCTTTCTCCGGCAATTGCTCTTATTTGTTGGGAGTTAAGCAGTGGGGATACGGATGGGTTTTGGAATTAGGTTTTATAATCTATGTATGTTTTGTATATAGAATTGCCTTCCAAGATTAGCAGGCCCACAAAGTATCTGCACTTACAACAAGAGTAGTGGAGATCATAACTTTTGCCCATATCCAAAGAACACTGATGAATGGAAAAAATGTATGTGGTATATATTATTGGGTATTGGTGTATACTTGATTGTAGGTTAACCACCTAAATAAATAGGCACTGATTGAGCGATAATTATGGAAGGAAATAAATTGGGAGAGGAAAGTCGGGAGTGAAATGGGCAAGAATCAACGAATTCTGAATTGGCTACTTAATTAAGCTAATAATGGCAAAATTATTATCTTGAAATCAGCGAGTTAATAAATAAGATGGATTCCTAAAAATGAACAGACCCACAGCCCGTGCCTTGCCATGAACCTGGCCCCAGCTGGTGCATGTGCATGTGGTCAACCAATCAGTTTAGCGGTTTAGCCCTTTACCAAACAAGTTGTAATACACTCCCCTTCAAAAATAGTTGAAAACATTGGTATTCTTTTCGTGCGGGAAGATTGTGGTTTATCTCTCGTTGGGATGTGAATTTGAACTCATTGAATTTCCAACTCATTGTGTGGCCTATTGATATGGTTGCATTCTTGTGTCAGATTGGATTGACATGGGATACAATTCTTCAAATCCAAGTATGAATTTTGGGTTCATCTCAGATGCTATCAACTTGAAATGCGTTACCTTGATAGTGACACACTGACACATCATTGATTTAAACCATTTGAGATTATGCACATTGGGAAAAAATGATTCATCTTTTCAATTAATATCTTGCTTTTGTATCCTCTCTCCACGCTGATGAAGTGTTTATTCTTGTTTGCATTTGAGCTTCGTCCATGCCTCGATTGGCTTGTTAATTTGTGTTGACAAATTTTTCAATGCAGACATATGATGGCATGATCATTGGGGAACATTCCCGTGATTCAGATCTTGATGTAAGGGAATTTAACTTTTTTTTTTTTTTTTTTTTTCCCTACGATTCTCTCTCTCTCTGCATTATATTTGCATTAAATTTTAACTGATGTTGGGATTTCTTTGTCACAGGTTAATCCTGCCCGGTGTAAGGAGCTAAATAATATACGTGCTGCTTCGAAGGATGAAAATGTGAAACTGTCACCTCCCCGCCTTGTACGTAATCCTAAACTTACCCCATCTTTTAAATCTTTATCATTTCTGCCCTAATATGAAGTTTGGAAGTAAATTGTGGTATTGGTTTTTTTTCTTGACATAAATAAATCTGTTAACCGACATGATACATGTAAGGCTATAGGTTTTTTCTCAGCATAAATCGATGTGTTATGGAATCATTTTAATTTGGTTGGTATTTTTCTGTATCAAGCTAGTAAATGAAAGAGGTGATAATCCCTGTATTACTGATGCTATGAAATTACGGAAGGTGAATTCAAGTGAGTAGAGGGAGAAGATAAAAGATACTTACATCACAATCAATATGCCACTCTTTACAACTTTCTCCTTATATATAAGGATTATCTTTGACAAATACCACAATATTCCTCCTACCTGCATGTATTTTCTCACTTGCTCCCCAAGGCTCATTCTTTAATGATTTGTTGACAAGGGTCCACTTAGGCTCCTATCTCCAAATTGTCCTTTTTCTTATGCCAATTCTTATGCCTAGCATAAGTCATTCACAAAGTTTGGTAAGGTGAGGGAAGCTGGTGCATCACAATAAGTGAAACCCTCCAGCAGATTAATTCACACATTACTGTTGTTATTGAGGAACTATCAACGAATTAAATGTTAGACTGCAATCAAACTACTAAATGATGTTTCTAGTTAAGTCAGTGGTATTTCGCTTCTACCATAGAAAGTTACTGAACATATTTTACTGTTTTGTTGATTTCCGAACTCGTCCTTTTATCTCCGACAAAATATAAAGGAGAAGAAAAAAAAAAGTGGGACTTCAAAAGTTAAAATATAAGTGTGGTTCACATTAACAGATCGAATGTTTAGGCAATTCCTTGAGAATTGAGAAAGACCAAGATATATCAAATAGTAGATTTGAATAGGAATTATCATCCTGAATTCCTGTTTAATAAAATTTTGGCTGTTCACTTGAAATGTTTGAAATCTTGATGTGGTTTGCACCAGAAGGTGATAGAAAATGGGCTTGGGTATAAAACGAGGAAATATATGCACACACAACCAAACCCCCTCCCCCCAAAAAAAAAATAAGCACACACAAATGTTTGAATGTAAGTGTTAACAGCTCTATGATTTTGCTTGCAGATAACTCTAGAAGAAGCAATTGGTTATGTTCAGGCTGATGAATTGATAGAGGTAAGCTGAATTTCAGCTTAGCTGCCGTTGATGATTGACAATCGTTAAACTTTCCTTTCCTTTTTTCTTTTGCAACACAAAATGTTGAATAATTATTTGGGAGCATATTAATAATACTCTTGATATGTTCTCCAAAAGCTTGCTACTTAGGACTAAATTCCACAAAATTTTGGATTGAACTTGGTTTTAGAGAACTTAGTCCAGTATATTTTGGAGCGGATATAAATTTGAAAAAATCAAATTCAGTACTCCTAAAATCCTAATAAAAAATATCAAGCTCTGTGTGCTGGATCTAGTTCTTTTTAGACTGTTGTCTAATGCAAACGTTTATTGACTTGTTGTGCAGGTTACCCCTAAATCTATTCGGTTAAGGAAAAAATATCTAGATGTAAACAAACGCAAAACAATGAGCAAAAGGCCCAAGGAATAAAGACTAATTGATACGCAATAGTTCGTAGAGGTATGAGACTTCGCTTGTACTTTGTTGAGCAAATTCTGTGGGAAGCTCCATTTAACGGAGGCAGAGTGAGGAACAGTGAGCTTTAAGCCCAAGGACTGAAGTTCCTGACCTGTTCCTGTTTCATTTATATCGGGGATCACATCTAGTAGTGACCAGTTTTTGGCTTAAGATTTTGTTGTTGATTTATAATCAATTTTTGAAAACACGGAAAAGCAATTCATCTTTTGTATCAATTTATGGCAATAAATATTCAAACAGGTATATATGTTATATGTATACAACTACACATATAAAACAAAAATAATGGTATACAAGTTATATCTTGGACATTAGCAGGATATTTTTTTTTTGGACAAAATAGTTGTTGGTTTAAGTTTTCTACAGAGTTATGAAATATATATGTTTCAAAAATGTTATGAAATATATTGAGAAGAGATACGGGTAAAATTTAGAGGTAAAAATACAACGTGCAAGTTATTACTTTTTATGATTATTTTATTAGCTGGCGTATGGGGCTGGATTTGGTAGACGTTCCGTTGTCTGGTCCAAAATTTACTTGGACTAATAACAGGATTGATTCAGATCCGATTTTTGAAAGGCTGGATAAAGTCTACGCCTCTTCTGCTTGGTTTCCAGATTACCCTGACACAAAAGTTTTACACCAACCTATCCTATTTTCGGATCACACCGCTATTATTCTCTCGGATACGGTCGAATCAGGATATGTAAAGCATCCTTACAGGGTGGAAAACTGGTGTTTGTCTGCGTATGAGGTTCGTGAAATTGTACAATATGCTATTACACTGTTTTCCCAGGCTCCCTAATGTTTTCTTTATCTTGGAAATTATCAGCTGTTAGCTTGGTGTGTTTCTCACAAGAAGGTCTGGGGGACTAATTGGAAGACTTTGGTTTCGGAATTTCAGCAAGCTTCTTCGGTCTTGTCTTCTCGTATCGATGGTTGTCTTTTCATCACTACAAAGGACGAGAAAGTTGCAGAGGTAGAGGCAACTTATCTTTTCTAGCATCAACGTACGAAGGTTAAATGGGATGCGTTAGGTGATTCTCATTCTTGTCTCCTCTTTTCATTGGTCCAGTTTCGACGTCGTCGAAATAAGATTTGTCGTTTGGGAGATTTGTCTGGGTCTGGCAAAGAGATTCTGACTTCATCGCCTCTTTATCTTACAACTTTTATAAGGATCTTTATTCAGACAATGCTTCTTCCCAAGATTCTTATTAGTGGGAGCAATTACATTTACTGTCTCTCTCTTCAGCTCAGCAACAACTTCTTATGGCCCCTTTTTCTGCAAATCTCCGGGACCTGATGGGTTCTCTTCAGCTTTCTTCAAAGCTCACTGGTCTGACGTTGGTTTGTCTATTATTACGGCAGTTCAGCACTTCTTTGTTCATGGGTATATGTTAAAGGAATGGAATCATACCTTGTTTTGCTTCCGAAAGTAGAAAATCCTGAACTAATCTCTCAGTTTCGGCCGATTGGTCTCTGCAACGTGATTTATAAGTGTATTGCGAAGTGTCTCACAGGCCAGCTTCGCTTGGTGCTGCCTTGTTTGGTGGCTGATTACCAGAATGCATTTGTTCAGGGTCGTCTTTTATCGGATAACATGTTAATTGCTCATGTGATCATCTCTTTTATGAACAATTCAAAGGTCAAGAAGAGGTTTTATTCAGCCATCAAGTTGGATATGAATAAAGCCTATGATCGGGTTCATTGGGAATTTTTATTTTGAGTTCTACAGGCTTATGGTTTCCCGCCTTTCTGAATTCATATCATCAGTCAATGTGTTTCGACAGTTTCTTATCAGGTGCTAGTTAATGGCAATCCTTCCCCAGCCTTTCAGCCTTAGTGTGGGCTTCGTCAGGTGGATCCGCTTTCTTCTTATTTGTTTGTCCTCTGTATGGAAGTTTTATTTGCTATGCTTAGGAAGGCCGAATGGGACTCTCTTATTCGGGGGATTAGTATTTCCAGGGGTGCCCCTTCGATTTCTCATTTATTCTTCGCGGACGACTCCTTGTTGTTCTTGCAAGTTTCTCCTTCAGCTTGTGACAATCTTATTTCTCTCCTGATCGAGTTTTGAGGATTGTCGAGACAGGTGATTAACTTGCAAAAGTCATTCGTTAAGTTTAGCCTAAGCACTCCAGAAGACTATCGAGATTATCTGTCGGGTAGTCTGAAACTTCACTACAAGCCCACTCTTGGTTCTTATCTGGGGTTACATGTTGAGTTCAGCCGCAGCAAAGTGGCTGACTTTGGCATTCTAATTGATAAAGTGGTAAAGCGGCTTTCTAATTTTGCGTCTGTTGGTTTGTCTTCTACTGCTAATTAGTAATCATTAATTCAATATTGGTCGCTTCTTTTAATCATATCCTGTTGGTTTTTAAGGTTTCGCCTTCGGTCTGTTCCCGCATTGACAACTTGTTGGCTCGGTTTTGGTGGAAATCAAATTCTCAATCTCGGGGTTTAGCAATGCGTTCAAAGTCTCTTCTTCATCTGCCTTAAGGGTTGGGAGGTTTGGGTATTTCATTAGTTGGAAAGTTTTAACTCAGCGCTTCTCGCTTGACAGTGCTAGAGCATTCACCAACACCCTCAGCTTTTGGTTTCGAGACTACTTATTGCTAAGTATCCTTCCCTTCGTTCTTTTCAGACTCGGATGATTCCTCGATCTTCTTGGGGTTGTCGTAGCCTTTTAACAGGTTTGTTATCTTTGGATCGGAGAATAGCTTGAAAAGTTGGTTCGGGTTTTATGGTTCGGATACTTGAGGATGATTAGGTCCTAGGGGGGCTTGCTGTATTTCGTAACGGTTCTGGTGTGTCTGATCCTCTGACACATGTTTTTTCTATTATTAATCCGCGTTCTTACACTTGGGATTCGACCTCAGTTCATCGGCTTTTTAATACTTCTACGGCGCTTCGCCTCCTGGCTTTGGATCGCCCTCTTCAGCCGATTGAGGATTTCGTCTACTGGAAATTTTCTAGGGATGGATCTTTCACTACTAAGTCTACTTACGCTATGCTGCTTAGTCATTTGGTGTCTCCTAGGGTCTCGGGTGCAATTTCGGCCTCTTGGTGGAAGCATTTCTAGGGGTTACTAATTTTGCCGAAAATGCAGTGTTTTTGTTGGAATTACTTCACAATGCTCTGCCTCTCTCTGGGAATCTGCAGCTTCGGGGAATTCCGATAGATCCAACTTGTGTGTTTTGTTACCGAGAACGTGAAACGTCATACCACCTTTTCCGTGATTGTTCCTTCACTTCTCATTTTTGGGCTTGTGCTCTATTTCCCTTTTCTTTTCCTCTTTCGCATGGGAAACATTTTATTGATTGATTTGTCGACATTGTCTCTAAGTTTCGTTCCTCTCGGAATTAGGACAGTTTGGTTTCTTTTGCCTCCTTTTGCGTAACCACAAGATCTTCAGATTGGCAGTGTTGTCTCCTGGTGCAGTTTTCCATTTGGTGCTGGAATGATTTCTAGGAGTGTTTTGGCATACGAGTTTAGGTCCCTCGTTTGCTCGTTAGGGAGACCTTCTCCCCCTACTTTGTTACCTTTTGATTATTGCTATCTGCAGGGTGACTCCTCCTCTAACTTTGATGTCTGCCTTATTTTTGATGGAGCTTGGAGTGCTCGAGATCTTAGCGCAGGAGCAGGTTGGATTTTTAGGGATGCTTTTTTAGATTTGGTGTTGGGTGGTTTGCTCGAGAGCTTGTCACTCTTCTTCGGCCATTCAGTTTTAGTTACCAGCGTGTTTGTGGGTTCTTCGGGCTGCCGACCGTCGTGGCTTTCGTCGCCTTCTTCTCTACTCCGATTGTGCGAATCTTTTTTCCCTTCTGCGAGGTGATGGTAACAACGATATTTCTTCCCTCTGTTTGCTTCATGATATTCGACTTTCTCTTTTGCGATTCTTTGTCTACAAGCTTCGCAAGGTTCCTCCTTAGTGGGTTGCCCTGGCTCACTAGTTAGTTGTGTAGGCTCGTCGTCGACAGTTGCTTTGTTGGTCTTTTTAGTTTTTGTGCGTGTTTTTCTTTGTTAGGGCTTCTTGTCACATAAAATAAAAAATAAAAAAAAATAAATAATTGAGAGTGGCAAGAAGGGTGGCTAAGTATTGATAACATAGAAGAAAAAAAATGGGCATTTACATTATGTTTGACTAGCTGTTAACACTCTTTCTTTAATGTGCATATACTATATACTCTCTTCGTGTTTAAATAAGTGAAACATTTCCCTTGTGCACATATGTCAAAGCAACACTTTGACTGATAATATCTTTAATTATTATAATAAGTAAAAAATATAACAATTGAATATTAATAAACTATTCATTGAGATGATTCCAACAAGTATCCACAAGATTATATTTATTCTTATGTAAATCACAACATTAGTCAAAGTGAATTAGATGAATAGTGCAAAAAGTCAAAATGTTTCACTTATTTAAACACAGAGGGAGTAATAAAGTATTGGTTGTCTCATTAAAAACCTTGCTAGGTAACCCTTTATGATAAAATACAATGCTAGGGATTATAAGGGCGACGGAGGGGTTGTGCAAGTGGAGCGAAGGTGCAGGGCCTTCAAAATAATGGGGGCTCAAAATAGAGAAAATACAAGTTGATCTTTATGATAAACAAAAAAGTGTTTATCTAGTGACATTTCTGTAAATAAGTCAACAACCTTTATTAAATGCAGGTCACACAAATGTTGATTTATTTATGAAAATGCCATGTTGATTAGGATATTTTGTTGATTTATTTACTCATTTGCCTCTCGATAAACGATTTTTGTTTATCATGAATATTAACTGGGGATTCCTCCCTAAAATAAGTTATATATTTATAATTTGGCCATTATTAAATGGATAACTTTATGGCTCAATAGTCAATAATTTAAAGTTGCACTCTGGACTAACTAGAATTGGTTGGTCAAGGCCCTATAAAATGTACATTTAATACAATAAAAATAACCTGTAAAAAAGTTGATCTTTTAGTAAATTAAAAATAAACATGATTATCATGCAATTATTAAAAAAAAAACATTAACATTCAATTTATACGTTCATATATATAAATAATACGTTGTTCATTTGAAAATAGTGCCATGTTCATATTTAACAATGCTAGTAATGATATCACCAAATTTTAATTTTAATGCTCTATCTTCAAAAAAAAAAAAAAAAAAAAAAAAAGAAGTTCAAATTCAATATTTATAAACAAAAATATGAAGATAAAATACAACATTTAGATTTATTAAAAATACTTGTATGTTTAGAATGTGTATTTTATGTTCAAACCCTTTAGATTATCCCAATTAGACAAATAAATTG